CTTGCCACATTCGCTGGAACCTGAACCCCAAGGCCTGCAGCGCTGTTCCAGGGCCGGATTTGCACAGGGCGCCCCAGCCCGAGTCCGCTGCGGGCTTCCCCCCGCCCGGCGATCTGTGCCCGTGGGCAGGAGGCACCATGGCCTCCAGGCTTTGCGCCACTGGGGCAGGGGGCTGCGCGCGGACATGCACGGGGCCCTACTGGTCACCAGCATCCCGGAGGGCCTGGAGGAGGCAGCCGTCCAAGCCGTCTTGCAGCCGGCCTTCTTGCCCACCCACCCCCGCCCCGGCACGTGCAGGCTGTGCAACACTAGGGCCAGGAGGGACCAGAAGGCCGAGGCCGCCCGGTGGAGTTTGCGGAGGCCATAAATCACGCCTCCGTGCCCAGACAGATCCCGGGCAAGGGCGGCGTCCGGAGGGTTCTGTGTCACGACCGCGCGGAGGACACAAGGGTCCTGAGGCAGATGAAAGGCCTGCTGCTGGATGAGAGGCCCTCGGAGGCAGGCCGCAGGCGCTGCAGGCCCCGGGGACACATCCCCCTCTCCTGCTTGGTTTTGGAGACCCAGGCCCAGGGCTCAGGGCCCGCCCCCAGGAAGGCCGGCTCCCCCCAGGGAAGGGCCTCCGGGCTCGGCTCGCAGAAACCCAGCCAGAGGCAACAGGTGGGCCCAGAAGGGCCAGGAGAGAGAGCCAGGCGGGAGTCCGACGACTCTCTGGGGATGGTGATCCAGGAGCTAGCCCAGGACGACCTGAGCGCTCCACGCCCGCTCCAGGAGGCCGCCAAGGAGCTCAGGAAGGAGTGGACCCTGCAGAGAGACGCGGGCGGAGGAGCGGGTCCCCGCGAGTTCTTGGCCCTGGTGACGGGACGGACAAAGCCAAGCAGGAGCGGGCGGAGGCAGAGCCCCGGGGGCGAGGCCCTCAGCCTCCACAGGGGAGAAGCCCGGCGCCCAGGGGGGCGCGGCCCTGCTGGCGGTGAGAGACACGTGGCAGCAGGAGCCCAGGGACAGCGACGCTCCCGAAAGCCAGTCACAGCGAAACGGGGAGCCAGGAGACGAGAGGGTGGACAGTCCGAGTTTGTGGCCATGGCGGCCTGTGCGGACCCGCGGGCCCCGTGGGCCCGTGGCGGGGAGGGGAGATGCTGAAAGTCGCTTGGGTGATGGAGTCACTGGGCTGGAGCGACAAGCGAGGCCCTCCCCGCGGTCTTGCCCGTCCGGCGCCGGGACACTCGGGGAGCCCGCGGGAAGGTGGACGAGGCGGGCCGCCGGGTGGACGCCGTGGTCCTGCGGAAGGCCGCGGGCCGCGGGAGCCGCCGGGAGCGCATTTCCAGCCTGGCGGAGCCCGAGCCCCGCTCCACGGGCGCGGGGACCCGGCGGGGCTGACGAGCGACGCCAAGGAAGGCGCCTGGGAAGGAGGGAGGTGCGGGCGCGCGGGAGGCGAGCCGGGCGCGGGCTCGGAGGCGGCGCCGGAGGCC